GCTGCCCGGGGCTTCGGGGCCGGGGAGGTGGAGGAGGGGCAGGCCGGGGAGGGGCGGAGGCTGGGGATCGGGCCACGGCGAAGCGAGCTCCTCTGACCCCACGAATCTGCTCTGATCTATGTGCTCGCTCACTTGCGGGTCTGCGTGGAGCTTTGTGGGCCCGTCCAGGGGGTGGGTTTGTGTCCCGGGGCGCAGTCGCGTGCTGAAGGGCGCGAACTCGCACGTGGAGTCTGCGGATTCGCGGGTGCGGGACCCGGCTCTGCGGGGCCGCGCGCGCGGATCCTGCCCGGAGCGAGGCTGGTGATGCGATCCGCACCTCCCAAGCCTCGCATACCCAGGCCCCGGCACTCGCATTCCCACACTGTCCTCCTCCCCACCCCCTTCCTGGACTCTGCGCTCGACTGCCCCTCCCCACACACACGCGGCTGTTTGTTTTTGTTGGGTTTGTCAATGTTGTCTTTGTTCGCGAGATTGTGTCATCGCCTAGATGCCGGGAATAAAGTGCGACGCTGTGTGTGATCAAGTGTGTAACGTGTGCGGCCGGGGCTAAGGGCGCCTCTGTCCATCAGTGCCTGCGCGCAGGGAGGGACACGAGGGGCTCTGTTCTTGTTTCTAGATGCGCCAAAAGGCACTCATGACGTGGTGTGTGTGTGTGTGTGTGTGTGTGTGACAACACACGTGTGCACTGTGCGAACGGGCTCTTCAATATGAACTGTGGGAAGACGGGCACGAAGGGTGACAAACTGTGACCACACATGCACAGCTGGCGTGTGTAAACACGTGCGATGGCGCGCAAGTGTGAGAACATTTGTGAGTACTGTCCCGGCCGCGTGTGTGGAAGCGTGTGAAACTCTTTGACATCCAAATGCTAATGTTTGTGAACAGCGTGCGAAGAGGAGGGGACACGTGCACGGGCGTGCAGTGGGGGCGGGACGGGGTGGGGGCGGGGGTGTAGGCGTGCGCGGCTGGGTCTGGCGCAGTCAGAGCCGGGGCTCTGCGTACGTCGGGCCCCCTCCCCCGCGCCATGTAAACAAACCCGCTGGAATTCGCCTCTCAGGGCTCTTCTCCCCGCCGGGAGCCGCCGCCGTCTGGAGCAGGGTGGGCGGGCGGTGGCGGCTCCCGGGGTGGAGAGGGCGGGCAGGTGTTTGGGGAGGCTCGCGAGTGCGCCCGGCGCGGGAGGGCCGATCGGCGTGTCTGCGCGTTCGCTGGTGTTGTGTGGTCGCGAGGTTGTGCGCCCGGGCCGGTGCTGGGCTGGGGGCGTCCCTGGCCGGCCCTTCCCTGCGGCTGCGCATCGCGGGAAGCCGCGGACCCGGGGCCCTGGCCGGC